ATGGAATGAATTTGGGGGAAGCTTTCACAATACTCACTATAATTGTGTCACCGTTTGATCATCAAGAGTTATAAGACAATTAAAATGTAGGACACGGACGCACACACACACATATATATATATATGCAAAGTAACTTAAAACAGATGTATAAAACTAAATAAATCAGATTTCTATATGTATTTTGCACATGGGAACCTTTATTCAAAGTAAATGTATATAAAATGACTGCATTTAAAAATAACATAATTAACAATTCAAAGATTTTAGACCTATTTTCTTTCTTCTTGGCATGAAAAAATAGGGAGATACTCACACATGGACAGAAGAAAAGATGGAAGGACAGAGGGAGGGAGAGAGATATCAAGATCTGAGCATTCTAAATTAGAATGCTACATACTAGGTTAGCATAACCCATGGTCTTCATAGATAATGTTGGCAATACACGAGACAGAATACCGTGTCTGTGCAGGGACCATGCTAATCTTCTCTCTATCATTCCAATTTTAGCATACGTACTGCCAGAACCTTCATAGGATAAAACTAGGCCCTCGGAATATGGGTGACAGTTCTGTGTGCCCACTGGCAGTGGGGCCAGGATTTATCCCTAGTCCACGAATTGGCTTTTTGGAACAAAATCCCTATGGAGGCAGGACTTGATACAGGGCTGAGAGAAGGGTTGGCTTGGTCCTGCCTCAACTTGATATTCCAGACTTTGTTGACTTACCCTTTCTGAGCAGTGGATGGAGGGGTGGGGTTGGGTGGAAGGGAGGTGAGGGGAGTGAAAGAGAAGAAGAGAAGAGGAACTGATCTGAAATGTAAAATGAAAAAATCAAAAGCATGTTTGCTTCCAGCCTTGCCTAGGCATAAAGTAGCTAAATAATTTCCTATGAGGAACATTTTGGACTTTAATTGTCAAGGTGTGTGATGAATCTTTGTCCTATTCCTTGTTGGAACAAGTCTCTAGCCTCAGGCAATTATGCAACAGTCCCAAACCTGCCAAGTCACTGGACCAAACGCCCAGATTCTATCTCTGTGACTAGACTGTCCCTGTCTGGATGACTCTTCTTTGGTGCTCAGCCATATAACCAAAGCACACTGGTTCCAGTCTCTCAGCTTATCCACTTTCTGTGCCTCATTTCTCCCGCATGAGCCTCAAGCCTTCGCCTCTGACAAGTATAAAATCACCCTGTACACTACTAAATTCTCAAACAGTCTTTATCCTGGGGCATTAGGAATTGTTTCACTTTTCATTTGTTATTCTAACCCTACTGACTCAGTAATAAGACTCCTTTAGAAACGATGATGAAAGTGATGCTAATATTTCTTTTAAAAACATCTCCATGATATTTAATCGGGATTTAGGGTAAGCTTGGAGGATATGAGTGCACTCCACTGTATTTAGAACAGAAGGAAAGTTCTTCTTTAACTTCTTGGCTGTGATTCTCCAGGAGAGGCCGCAGAAAAACTTGTTTCAGTACCGTTGCTGGCAGGTTGGGCAGATACCATCCTGGCATAGTATTGCTGCTGTCCTCAGAATCTGGTTCAAAAGCAGAGGACCACTCTGCCCTGGAAAAGTTACAGAAGTCTAGGGATCAAATTGCCACAATTATTTCAAACAGTGGTTTTTCCATAGAGGAGGCTTCTTTTGAGAAACAGAGATGAAAGCACATTAAATGTCCTGAATTCTTTCTGCAACCCTGTAAATGTTTCTCCTTTTGCCCCCTCCCCATTCACTTCACCATGTTCTATGTAAATGTCACTATCTAAATATATAGGTAGATGGACAGCAGGCACAGGCAAATGGTGTACTGATACAGGACATTCAAACAGCTGATGAGAACCACCCACACTATCTCTCCAAAGGCATTCTCAGAGATTCCCACAGAATTTAACTTGATAGACATATTCAAACATGTAGTATTTGTTTAAAGTAGAGACCCTGGGATCATGGCACTTTCAAGTCTGAAGGAACCCCGTTAACACACAATGAATTCAGAATTGACAGAATACAAAAGTATCTGTAAATAACACTAGCACACACGTGTGGAAGATTGTCATGTAGCACACATTGTTTAATGGGCACCGAGAAGGAAACATAAAAGACTCACAATCTTAAGTATTATGAGAATAGAACCTCAATACTCCAAATTCAATAAGTCTATTTTCATCTGAATTTTAGAAACTTCAACATTATCAGATTGTGTTTGATTTTTACTTTTAAAGGACTATTAACAAAAGAGAAAACTCTAATGAACTTCTAGGGCCTTTAAATTTAATTAATTCAATTTTAGAGAAGGAATTGCTTTCATCAATCCAAATTTTCAAATTTAAAAGGGAGACAGACAGAAACCATGTGCCTACAGTATCCTAGTTAGGGTTACTGTTGCTGTAATAAAACATCGTGACCAGAGTAGCTTGGGAAAAAGAGTCTGGCTTACACTTCCACAGCACTGTTCATCACCAACGGAAGTCAGTACAGGAACCCAAAATGGACAGGAACCTAGAGACAGTGGCCATGGACACTGTTCATCACCAATGGAAGTAAGGACAGGGACCCAAATAGGACAGGAACCTAGAGACAGTGGCTGTGGAGGAGAGCTGTTTCTACCTTTCTCCACATGGCTTGTTCAGACTACTTTCATACAGAACCCAGGACCTCCAGTCCAGGGGTGGTCCCATTCAAAATGGGGTGGGCTCTCTCATCAATGCCCCACAGCTCAATCTTATGAATCTTATGGAGGCATTTTCTCAACTGAGCTCCCTCTTCTTTAAAGACCCTATCTTGTGTCAAGTTGACATAAAACTAGCCAATGCAGTAAGCAATGCTTCTGACAAACAGGTTTAAACACATATTCAAAAGTTAATTTTAAAATGATTTTTTTTTAGCACACTCAGTAAGCTTGAAGGAAATCCGGCCCAAATCACTTTAGCTTGTGTCTCATTGTTTCTGCTAAATAAGAACATGGATATTAACTTTCACTATATATGTGGGGATTCATTATACCGGAAAAAAAGGACTTAGAAATAAAAATGTTTGCCTGGGCATGGTGGCACTGACTTTAATCCTAGATATTGAGAGACAGAGGCCAGTGTGTCTCTGTGACATCAAGGCCAGCAAGGTCTACATAATTAGTTACAGGTTGCCAATGCAACATAGAGAAAAACCATGTCACAAACAAAAAATACATCCCTTAGAAGGGCGATTTGTTTCCAGATTCTATTGTTCTGAGGATTATGTATTCCAGTGTGACCAGTTTTATCTTTTATATTCCTAAATATTATAGGTGACAGCAGCCTGGTGTGATATGAATATTTTTTGCTAAGGTACAAATGATGATATCAATCTAAATTAGTTGTCAATCTAAGTGATTGAAGAAACATCTGTTTGTGATGAGAAATAACATTTGTATTCTGGTTTATATGTTTGCTAATCTATAGTTTGAACTGCTCTATTATCTGAAAGAACTAAATCACTTCACTACCAAAAATGCGAATGCTGGAGAAGCTTGGGTAATAATGTGTGTGAAAGACCCCAGCTTAGCTGCTGTAAAGACATTTTGCAAGGCTTCCACACAAACAATAGGTTCAAGGTAAAGTTGGTACTCCTAGGCTGCCAAACAGGATTATCTGTGGTCAGACACCAGGCCTAGGAGGGGAACGAAAAGTTCTGGGAAAAAAAAAAAAAAACATATATACCCTAGATAGAGCCAAGTCAGCTATTATCAGATCTTCATGTCCTCAAGTAAACCCATCGCCTCATTCAAACTGACCAATGGAATCCCTGTAACCATGCATGCTTCTGCCGCCCATTTCCATATAAAAGACCCCCTGCCCAGCCTGAGGGCGCTCGCGCAAGTCTTCCAAATAGAATCTGGCATCTGCAGGTACCTGTGCACCGCTCAAGAAAAAACTTCTTGCAGTTGCAGCCAGTGGTCTTGGACTGTTCCTTGGGTTCAGGGGTCTCCCCCTGAGAGAAGGTTGATGTGGGAGTGATTTCTTATTAAAGAAACTGCCTAGGCCCCTTGATAGGCCCACCCTTAGGTGGGTGGAGTAAACAGAACAGAATTCTGGGAGAAAGAAGCTGAGTCAGAGAGTCGCCATGATTCTCCCGCTCCAGACAGACGCAGGTTAAGATCCTCCCTGGTAAGCCAGCTCGTGGGCTACACAGAATATTAGAAATGGGTTAGAACAATATGTAAGAGCTAGCCAATAAGAGGCTGGAACTAGCCGGGCCAGGCAGTGTTTAATAGAATACAGTTTCCGTGTAATTATTTCTGGGCATAAGCTAGCCATGCGGGCGGCCGGGTGCCGGGGACGCAGCCCTGCCGCCGCTCCTAATTCAACAGAAGGTCCTCTCTGAGGGTCTTTCATGTGTGCCGTTCAAACATGAGGATCTGTGTTCAATACCTTGAATCCATCTTTTAAAGAAAGGAGAGAGATTGGTGGTGTGTTTAGAATCCTGGCACTGAGGAGACAGAGAGGTGCATCCTGAATCTGCCTGGCTGTCTAGCCACGCTTATCTGTCAAGTCCAGGCCAATTAGAGACTCCATCTCAAAAACAGATGAATGGAACCAGAGGAATTCCCATGTTTGTCTACTGGCTCCCATTCTCATGCACAGACACACACACAGAAAGAAAGGCACACAGTGCGAGAGCTTTTGAAACTGAGACAAATGACACAATGGATAAAATGGCAATGGATACCAGTGGGGAGAAAAGAGTCAATGTTTCCAACGAAAAGTGAAATATGTGAAAGCCAAGATCCACTTTTCAAACTCCCCAAGGAGATAGATTAAAACAAAATCTTATCATATGAAAATAATAAAAAGTAATGTTTTAATTTTGCTTAACATTTTGGTTTCTTAGCCCTTTTTCTCATGTAACTGGTAGCTCCAGATTTCTTGTCCATCATCAATGCCACTGCAGTTCTACTGCAGTAGGCGTCTCCTTTTTGACTTTTGTTTTGTTCTCAACTCTCACGTGATTTTTCTTTTCCAGGTGTAGACAAGGATGGACTGGAAATCGATGCCACATCAGGTCTAAACCTTCTAGTGCAGGATTAATTTACACACAGAATTGTAAGTAACATTATGCACAAAAAAGCAGCTTGGGATATTTAATATTTTTTAATCATTGTTATCTTTTTCACGGGCTTGAAATTCCAGACATATGGACTCTGCTGGGTATCGGATTCGGGTTCCTTGTGACCCATATTGCAGTGGCCATCTTGTGTTGTCTTGTAAACAGAAGAAGAATGACGAGGTAAGTCAGCCTTCTGGCTCTGACATGAACAGCAGGAAAGTCCTGAAACATTTCATCTCTTATGCTTTCCTTTCACCCTTCGTCATGTGGAAGGAAATTTTATGTTTTCATGCTTTGTGGCAACTTTTCCTGGAAGAAGCTGTAACTACTTTCCAATCAAAAGTTACACTTTTACTTACATTGGATCATTTTTGATGGCATAAAAGAAAGAAAACAAGATATCCTCCAAGACTGAAAAGATCTGGTTATGTGGTATCCTGATGGTTACCAGAGAAGGCTTCAGATCTGTAAGGAAGAACCTTTTCTTGCTTACACAGAGAGGCTGGCCTCTTGGCACCCGTATTCCAGGCCATATGCCCATATCCCAAGCAGCAGAGAGGCCAGAAGCAAAGATGGGCTGAAGCAAAAAGCTGGGTCCATGTCTAACTTTTACAATGCACAGGGCTATTATGAGTGCTTGAGTTTCCAACTTATCACATCTCTTCCCTTCACTGGTATAAGCCTCAGGCCACACAAATAGCAAGCAGAGCTGATTTCACAAACTCATCAAGATAAGGACTCACTTTTAAGAGCTATAACTTGTTTTGTATGCCCAAGTTGGTGGTCATCTAGACTTGTGACACTATTATGTCACGGACCAGCGGATGATAAGCCATTATCCTTGAATCACTCCTGTGTGCTGCTTAATAAAATTGTCTCAGGTCTCCAGCTCTAATCATAAACTCTAATCTTATTGGTCAACAAATATCCATCTTCACATCATGAATTAAGGGGAATCTGTTATAAAACTATGATGTGCATTATCAAAAAACATTTTAAATGTATTCCCATCAATGGGTTTGTATTCACGAAGCATTTTTTCAATTGATTTCTATATTCATAAAATATTACCAGGCAATATTTATAGACAGATATGAATGAGAAGCAGTTTAGACTTAAAAGAGTTTTTAAGATAAAGGAAGAAGCAGACTAAATCTAAATGAAACCTTGCTTGTGTGTAGAAACACATATATACATACATGAGCTGCGATTCTTCAATTGTTTGTAAGTGGGGGAGGGGGATAGTTGTTGGCGTAGCAAACTAGATACCTGGAGAGCAGCTGGCAAACTCCAATTTCTAGCCTGAGTTGAAGATGCAGCCTTGAAACCAAAATCCACAGCATGGACAAGCAAGCTGGAAACTCAGGCAGGATTTCTAAGTTGTTGTCTTTTTTTAAAAATTTATTGTTTTATTTATTAAAGATTTCTGTCTCTTCCCCACCGCCGCCTCCCCTTTCCCTCCCCCTCCCCCAATCAAGTCCCCCTACCTCGTCAGCCCAAAAAGCAATCAGGGTTCTCTGCCCTGTGGGAAGTCCAAGGACCACCCACCTCCATCCAGGTCTAGTAAGGTGCATCCACGAAACTGCCTAGGCTCCCACGAAAGGGAGAATTTTTTCTTCTTGAGAAAGTTTAGTGTTCTCCCCCCCCCCCGAGGGTCACCCACATTGTGGGTGAGTAAGTTTTAAAAAAACGTTCCTTTGTTTAACCTAAAGCAAATTGCTTTACTTAAAGACAATACATTTTGAATATATCTAAACAAATGCTATCTCAGAAGCACCTTGATCAGTATTTGATCAAACTATTGGTGGGACACCCTAACCTGACTCCAGCGACACATCAAGTTAATGAGCATGCTGTATAAAGAGGGTGTCATCCTCAGTTTACACCTTCTCCTGTTCACGTTGGATCCTCTGTCACATGAGGCTACTCACAGATTTTGTTAGTGGCTTTACGCTACAGTAAGACAGTCATCAGTTCTTTCTTTTTCCTGTTTATTTGTGTGTTGTTTGTGTGTATTCATGTGGGTAATTGTGGATGTACATGCATGTAGTGTGTGCACGTGTGTAAATGCCAAAAGTGAACACTGTGTATTTTTCTCAACTGTTTTCCACCTAATTTATTGAGGCAGGATAGCTCACTAAACCTGGGGCTTAACTCATCAGTTCAGGCAAGTTTCACTCCCTATCTCTCTACATACCGACCACTTCATGCAGGGGTTAATAACACATGCCAAACTTCCCAGCATTTTGCAGGGGTGCTGGGATCCGAACTTGGGTCCTCAAGTGTTTGTCCCAGGCACTTAGCTGATTTAGCTGTCACTCCTTCCCTTCCATCATATTTGGTATCCTTTTTTTACACTCTTGACCTCCATTCTTTGTTAAAGTTTTCTATTTTCTGATCCAACTTATTTTAATTTGCCCACTGTTTTTTAGATGGTATTTAGTATTTTAAATGACTCATGGAAAATTCATTTCCGCACACAGGTGGAATCTAAATATTGTCATCAAGGAGGTCATAACCAGAGAAAATTTTACAAACAAATAACAACAACAAAATACCAAAATAACAGATTTACAGTAACCCCTTAGGCAGTCGACGGCACCTTGGCAACTTCCATAGGGTGGTTAGTTTCATAAGACCCAGCTTCTTCTTCTGCCTGCAACATGAAAACAAGTCTAACCAAGGAGAGTTGTGCTGTTTCAGATCTGAACTGGGAGATTCACCATGCTCGGGTCAGATGTAAAGGCTGGGGTGAGAAAAGAGAGGAGAAATGGTGGTTGCTATGGGCTTCAAAGAGGACTTGGTTAGGTATTAAACATGAAGACTGGACACAGCTTTATAGCCATGATGTGTGATGATAGGCCAAGACGTGAGAAGTAGAGCAAGAAGGAAGGAAGCTAATGGAATGTGGAAGAAATGAAAGCTTTAGCAATCAGATTGCCAAACACAACAGAGGAGTACATTTATGGTATTTGACTTGGTGTTCCTTTGTTTGTGGTTTTCTCTGTGACACTGCAGACTCTGCACATTCTAGAGTCCAGTCCCTCCCAGCTCTTTTGTGTGTTTTTTCCGCTTTTATTTATTTTTTTTTAAAAAGTCACTTTCAAAGTAGGAGCTTTCCTTAGTTTGTGTTGGCCCTCACTCCACTCTCCCGGCTCCCCTTTTTCCAAATCCCCCTTAAACTCCTCTTACTCAGTATGATCCCTCTCACTTTCAGGTCACATGTGTTCTGTCTTCCCACTTCTCCCTGAAAGCTTCATGTTCCCCTTATCAGGGGCGTGGGCTCCTTTCCTGTTTCTGTGTTCATGGTGTCTACACTCGCTCACACCCACATAGATAAGACACACGTGGAAACAAGAAGCTAGGATCCTTAAATGAAAATGGAGGCATGGCATTTGTCTTTTTTAGCCTGCTTTAGTTTGCTTAATACGATATTTTCCAACAAATTTCAAGATTTCCACTTATTCTTAATTCAGCTGACTTGGATAGTAGGTAGATGTGTCCTTCATGACCCCATGTGCACCTCTGCAGAGGCTGGGCACTGGATTGAGGAGAATGACCTCCCCTGATACAGCAAGACCACTCTCTGATCAAGGACAGTGGAGAAGCTACACTCCCAGGCTAGAACTTTCAAACAAGTCCTGCTGTGTTTTTTTTTTTTTTTTCGAACTCCCTATTCTCTTTGTTCTCTAGGTGTATTCTATTTCTGATATTCTAAATTTACTCCAAATGCTTAGTCCACTTTTCTACCAAGCCCCAAACCATTCAAGACAGTATTCTCAGTTTGTTAATGATCTGCCCACGCACTCACTTCACAGCCCATTCGAAGGCCAACGAAGATCACACTCACCCACTAAAGGTAGAAAATCCTCAAAGGAACCCATTTTAGCCCACTGAGATGGTTCGGTGGGGAAATGAGTTTGCAGACAAGACCGATGGCCTGAGTTTGATCCCTGGAAGCCACAGGGGAAAGGAAGAAAACTGACGCCTTCAAGTTTTACTCTGACCACAGGCTCCCTCACCCAGACACACATAAAATTATAAAGGAACCAGCTTAACCCAGTCCGTATTGAAGTAAAGGAACCACTGCTGGAGGTTTCTCAGGGAACTTTCTCAGGGAACTCCAGAAAAATGGCTTCAGGGGAGTCATCCTACAGATGATCATATTTCCTATAAACTCACCCAGAAAAAAAAACTGATTTAACATGCCTCTCGCATGCTGCACCTCTGATCTCGTGTGCTCTCCTCAGATGACCCTTCTTCATCTTGAATATATTTAAAAGATCATGAAAATAAATTGGGGAGATGAGGTAATCCCCACTGGGGAGCAGAAGAAGGGTAATCTGAAAATGGAGGAACCAAACCCTATGAAGGTTTGTTTAAAATATTTGAGATAAGCTACGATGAAAGAGGAGAATGAAATACATCTTTACCAACCTCACCCTCTCTCCCTCCTTCAATTTCCTTCCCTTCCTCTCTCCCTCTCTCCCCCTCCTTCCTCCTCCCATCACTTCCCCCTGTATTTTCTTCCTTACTCCTGAGTCACTCCAGCTCTCCTTTGCCGGCTAGAGGAGGACAGGGCTCTGTTTTAACTTAGCCAGATCTTATAATTTCTGTAGTTTTAACTAGGTTGTCATTTTTGGTATTTCATGAAATCATTATTTGTGTGTGTGCTATATGTATATGCTCAAATGGGTGTGGGCACCTGTATGTATCTGTTCATATGGGTGTGGAGGTGTGCCTTGCATATGTAGGCACCTGTGGGGAGAGGCCAGAGGTCCATGCCAGAGGGCCTCTTCGATAACACCACACTTACTTTTAAATTTTATTTTTTAAAAATTTCATATATGCTGGGCGGTGGTGGCACATGCCTTTAATCCCAGGACTCGGGAGGCAGAGGCAGGTGGATCTCTGTGAGTTTGCGGCCAGCCTGGTCTACAAGAGCTAGTTCCAGGACAGGAACCAAAAGCTATGGAGAAACCCTGTCACGAAAATCAAAAAAAAAACTTTATATATGATCATAATGTGTTTTTTAAATCAAATCTACCTCCCACTTCCCTCCTTTCAATTCCTCTCATACAGAAGTACCACTTTTTTCTCACAACTTCCTGCATTCTTTTTAAAATCTACTAAATTGATTCAGTGCTGTCAGTATAAATATTGTGTGGCACAATCCACTG